TGCCCCTCTCGGCTCTTCGGACCATTGTCTGATCCGGAGTATGGTGCCACTCACGCTCCCTTCGCGGTTGCGTTCTGCAGGTTGCCGCCGTGTTTGGCATTACAGGTCGGCGGATTGGGACGGAATGCGGTCTTTCTTTGCATCCTACCCATGGGGGCGGGTTTGCTTCTCGCCGGATGATCCCAGTGCTGTTGCTGACTCTGTCACTGATGTGGTGCTACAGGGAATGGAACTATTTATTCCATCATCTGTGGTACCCATCGGAGGCAGATCTCAGCCTTGGTTTGGTCGCTCCTGTAAGACTGCATTGCGCAGTAAGCAGGAGTGTTATCAAGCCTGGGCTGCGGCTTCGGTGACTCGGGATGTAAACACCAGCACACTTAAAAAGAAGTATAACTTCGCCTCCAGGTCCTTCAAAAGAGTTATTGCCAAGGCAAAGTCAGAGCACATAGGCAGAATTGGCGAGAAACTAGTTCGCCTTCCTTCGGGAACCCGTGCATTCTGGTCTCTCGCCAAGGCTGTCCAAGGGAATTTCTGTAAGCCATCACTACCATCTCTGCACAGGGAGGACGACTCACTGGCCCAAGACGCAAAAGACAAAGCCGACCTTTTAGGCTCCCTTTTTGCGTCCAACTCGACTCTTGATGACGGGGGAAAATACCGCCGACCATCCCGCGGTGTGAGTGCTCCATGCCGGATGTGCTATTCTCACAGCGCTCAGTTCGCAAAGCACTTCTCTCCCTGGACATCCAGAAGTCGAGTGGGCCTGACGGAATCCCCCCAATTGTGCTGAGGACGTGTGCTCCGGAGTTGGCACCGGTCCTAACGCGTCTTTTCCGGTACTCCTACTCCCAAGGCGTAGTCCCGAATTCATGGAAGACAGCTTTTGTCCACCCGATCCCTAAAAAAGGCGACCGCTCAGACCCGTCCAACTATAGGCCTATCGCGATCACCTCCTTGTTCTCCAAAATAATGGAATCCATTATTAACTGCCAGCTCATCCGGTACCTTGAGGATCACCAGCTGATTAGTGACCGCCAATACGGTTTTCGTCGGGGTCGATCAGCTGGTGATCTTCTGGTCTACCTGACCCATAGATGGGCGAAGGCAGTAGAGTCCAAGGGGGAGGCGTTGGCCGTTAGTCTGGACATTGCGAAGGCCTTTGATCGGGTTTGGCACAAAGCGCTTCTTTCGAAGCTGCCTTCCTATGGGCTTCCCGAGAAATTGTGCAATTGGATCACCAGCTTTCTTGCAGATCGGAGCATCAAGGTCGTTGTAGACGGTGCATGTTCTGACTACAAGCCTATTAACGCTGGTGTTCCACAAGGCTGTGTGCTATCACCAACGCTGTTTCTTCTGCATATCAATGATATGTTGCTAACTGGTAACATTCATTGCTATGCGGATGACAGCACTGGTGATGCTCTATACACCGGCCGGGCCAATATTTCTCGGGAAGACGTCGCCGAGTACCGGAACAAACTTGTGTCTGAAGTCGAGTCTTTGCTGGACAAAGTCTCGGATTGGGGGCGACTAAATCTAGTCCAGTTTAATCCTCAGAAGACACAAGTTTGCGCGTTTACCGCTAAAAAGAACCCCTTTGTCGTATCTCCTCAGTTTCAAGGCACTCCCCTTCTTGCCTCAGCCAGTATCGGTATCCTCGGAGTCGACATATCGAGTGACGTGCAGTTTCGTGGTCACTTGGAAGAGAAGGCCAAATTGGCCTCTAAAAAGCTTGGCGTGCTCAGCAGAGCGGGACAGTATTTCATGCCGGCACACCGCCTGCAACTTTACAAGGCGCAGGTTCGGCCTCACATGGAATACTGTTCCCATCTCTGGGCAGGGGCTCCCCAGTGCCAGCTCCTTCCACTTGACCGCATCCAGCGCAGAGCGGCTCGAATCGTCGACGACCGAGCCCTTTCCGATCGGCTCGATTCATTGGCACTGCGAAGAGATGTTGCATCTCTTTGCATTTTCTTTCGCATCTACCATGGGGAGTGCTCTGAGGAATTGTTCGGATTAATCCCAGCCGCCAAATTTCACGAACGCACATCGCGGCAGAACTCCCGATACCATCCACACCATCTGGATGATTGGCGGTCCACCACTGTGCGATTTAGAAGATGTTTTCTTCCTCGCACAACTTCCTTGTGGAATAGTTTACCACCAGGGATTTTTCCGGACCGATACGACTTAAGGACCTTCAAGAAAAGAGCCTACTCCTTTTTAAAAGGCCGGCAACGCATCTGCAATTCCCCTGGTGTTGCGGTTGTTCATGGGCGGCGGTAGTCACTTACCATCAGGTGAGCCGCATGCTCGTTTGCCCCCTCTCCTATAAAAAAAAAAAAAAAATTTATTAATATAATAATTTTATTTCAAATGTATCATTAAGGAATTCATCTATAGAATAATATGCTTTATCATTTAGTAGATCAAAAAGTTTACGTTTGTAAATATTTATGTTGTCACAATCTCTAATGCACTTAGGTATTTTGTTATATACTTTTGCTGCCATTGCTTATATGCTCTTCTTGAAAAAAAAGCAGTTCTACTTGGTACTAAATGAAGCTTATATGAGCGATGTCACCCTTATTCTACAGAAAAAAAAGAACATAAAAAGCGTCTGATGCTATCTGAGCCTGCCTAGCGTGAAGATAGAAGATAGAAGACAGAAATATTGTTATCATAATATTTTTCTCACAGCCGTGAAATAACCAAATTTCTCACTAAATGTGTTGTTACAACGGCATGTACCAAGATAATTCCTAAAACGATTAATCATTTTTTTAATATTCCTCAAGGTTTATAATTTTCATTTTTCTGTACCTACTTACTGTTGACATTTTTGTCGTAACGTCTCTTGATATTATCAAATCAGACTCGGCACGCTGGACGATGTAAACATCAGTAGCGGTTCCGCCCTTAATTTTAGAGGTTGGTTATGGTTCGAATCCTCGGCTTTTTCATCAGCTAATGGAATAGGAAAAACAAAGCAGAGTATAAATTAATTTTGATTACAATTTAACGTGACTATGACTATTTTTTGATAATTTAATGATGAATGTCAAGGTTAAAATGCATTTTAGTAATGCAACGCCTGCTTTTTATTACGTTATAATTATAGTATAGCGCGTATAGCCACGATTCTAGCCTGCAAATAATTGAAAAAGACCTCCCCGCAGTATTTACGCTTTGAGACAGAGCTACAATTGTAAATATTTTTCATACGCTCAGCTCATGGGACGGTCATGAACCCGTCCAAACTTCTCGAACCCGATACTACCGTACAATGTTACTTAAATGATTTTTTAATAAAAATCATAAGGCACTCCCTTTCATTTTTCTCATTACAAGGGATTTTTATTAAACTTGACATAAATATATCATAACAGGTAGCTTACTGACGGTTCAGTAACGCAATGACAAGCTCTATCACACATCAGGACAAGGGTCCATCGGGTCGATTCCCGCACGGAATATGTTTGAATGACTGCAACTGCAAATAATTGGTCTGGCTTCAGTTTATGTACGTTTTAATTCTAATTATATAGTTTTGTATGGAAAAGTATTTTATTGTTATTTTGAGTGTGATATTTTGTTAGTGTGTATGGTTTTGATTGACGGACTATAAAGATGTGTACTTTGAGAGCCTTATGGGTATGTGGACTAGTTGCTTTTGCTCGCCATCTCCTGTTTTTACTATTTTATACATTATTTAATAATGAATAAAATAGCAAAAATTTACATTATTAAAAACAATTTTATAAAAATTTATGAAAGAAAGTAAGAAAGTTTTGCTAAATAATTGCTCTATAACTTGTCGTCGGAGTTGCGCGCCGATGAGTTGGAAGATGAAAGTAGTAAACAAACAGAAATAAAATAAAAGCGGAGAATCTAAACAATTGTATAAATCATGGGGAGGATGTTTAGAGGTCTGGCAGTCGGAGGGCGAACGGCGGGCGCGCGGCCGAGACCACCAGCGCGAAACTTGAGCCGAACTCGAAGGATGCCTATAATATTATTCTCTTCAAGTTTGAGATGTAATTTCGTTTAAAACTTTAAAACACTGGATCTGGTGCAAAAAGCAGTACTCTTTAGTTGTCAACATTTACTCATATGTACTGGCATGAGTTTTAAATAATTCCCTCTAATTAATGCAGATGACAATTTCAGCAAAGATTTGATGAACTAACAATGATAAAAAAAATATTTATTCATTCGTTTTACAAAATCAGTATTAATATTAACAAACGAGGAGTGGATGCACTTTTTTAGTCCGGAGCTTATGTAAATTTTACGGTAGACTATAGTTCTAGTTAAGTTGAATTTTAGCCACTTTTTGTTTCTATTGGATTTGATACTTTATAATACTCTCAAATTATACGCTTTTTTATTTTTAAACAAATAAGAGTACTCAGATAGTACACAGTCTAACGTTCGCGAAAAGTGAAATTTCGCGAACATTAGCACCATGCAACAATATTTTTATTTTTACTGGGTACGAGGCATTCCATCTGTCTTAAGGGGTGACAACGAATCTGCATTTTGATTCTTAATCGGGGATAGATATAGATGTGTATGGGCCACAGTATCCACTTACTATCAGGTGGACTGTGTGCTCATATGTCACGCTTATTCTGTAAAATAAAAATTTGCACGGTTACCTTTCACAACTCATTTCCAATTTCTTACTCTACGTTATCAATATACTAGCCTTTATATTATATCTGTTTGATATAATTGTTCCGATGCAAGTCGTCAGTGGTTCGGTAGAACAGGAGCTTGCGACATCCGAGATCCTTCGGTATCTGAGTGGCGGCGTGGAGCGCGGGGTGGCGGCAGACGCGCCGGCACCGCGGACCGGCGGCACCGCGGCAGTCCGCGCCGCGCCGCCTTCGCGATCGCTCGTGTTCGGCGACCCCGTGAGTGTCAGCTGTGCAATCGTGCTGTCTATACGTGCGTGCGAGGAGATGGGTGGCGCCATGGTGAGCAGGTGAAGCATGGCCCTGGCGGTGGCGCTGGGAGTGGTGGTGCTGCTGGCGGGCGGCGGGGCGGGGGCGTGCGGGCCGCAGCTGCCGCAGGGCTGCGTGTGCGCCGACGCGGCCACCAGGCTGCGGTGCCGCGCCGCCGGTCTCACCAGCCTGCCGCCGCTGCACGACCGCCTGCTCGAGCTGTGAGTACCACTGCCCCAGCTCTACCATACATCCTAAGCACTAACAGTGCTTACACTGAGACGAACTCATTATACAAAACTTTAATTCGTTGATGTCTTTTACTTGAGCTACAACAATAAATGTCCATTACGTCTTGCATGTTTTTGTTGACCTAACAGGATTGCTTTACATTTGGATTGTATTTACATCGGTTACTTAATATTCAGTGTACTTTTAACATACTTACCACGTCTGGCTTTTACGAAATAAAGCGTACATGTTTCCTGAAGTTTCGCGAGCTTATCATTGTTGTACAGTCGTTTTTATAATTTCAGCTTATTTAAAGTAATTACTAGTAATTACTCTTATTTAAAGTAGCTATGAATAAAAATTTAGAAAATATTTTGACACAATTATATAAGCTTTTATGGGGCCCTTTTATGAAAGACGAACTTACTTAATATATAGCACTCTAAATTACTTAAAGCCAATGCTTTTTTTTAATTTACTAAGGAATAAACACTTATTTGAATAATAATTAAATGTATTTATGTCCGCCTACATGAAAAAGTTTGGCAATGATTATTGACATGTCACTACGTCCTGACTGCAAATATCGGAAAAATAGTCAACTGAACGACATCGCGGGACCACACGCACACACGTGTGTACATATGTGTGTGTTACGTTGCTCACAGTGCACGCACACGGACGCGTGTGTGCATGTGCAGTCCTTTTGCGAAACCCACTCGATCCTAATCTCTCGATAACTACTAGAATGTAGGCCAATGGATGTGTATCGACACAAAAGTAAACGTTACACAGTTTTCCTGAAACTTATCCTCTGTTTTTCTCCATATTTGCTTTTGTGTTACAATTATTGTCGTACAAATACTGTTGTAGTTCTCCTGCCCTCTTTAACTTCATATTGAAGGTTTTAATCAAACTCTGTCAATTAAAGCACTTTGTTAAGGCCCCACCCGGCGTGAAGTTATTCATAATCGAAACTTTTTTTGTTATTTGTCTACTTTGATAGGTTACGGTTTTCTATTGAGTTATAAACATGCCATCAAAACTTTATATTGAAAGTATAGAATGCGTTACCTTCGCATAGGTGGAATGTACCAGAACCAGTAATAAAATTTAAGCACATATAAGCTTTTACCTAGTTTTTTCTATTAGCACAAACTCAAAGACAATAAAAATGCAATAACTTATAACCTCACTTAATTAATTTACTGCTTTGACAAAATGTTGCAGTAATTATCAATTGTATTTACTAAAAAAAATTATTTTAACAAAAATCAAGAAATAATGGATCAATTGAAAAGATTTGAGTCATTCTAGATTCTACAAAACTGTGTTGTAAGTTGTGAGCAAAACGAGCGAGCAGAAAACCGCCTGCCTTGATTACACGCATTGTCCCATCGCCGGATATCTCGTGGCGCCGGTCGCTGCGACCTGCTAAACTTGCATTGCTGTATTACTTTCTTCTTTCCTAACTATGTGCAAACTTTTCTACCATTCTTACTTGTATATAAAGTTAATTTTAACTATGAAAATAAATAAGGCTACCATTTATGTTAAACATATATGTTACTGGAAATTTATATAATCTTAATATTAAAAAACAATCTTGGCTATATGGATTTGCACAAAATTAAAACAAGAATTGACGGACCCCTGGCGCAGTGGCTCAGCAATGAGTTACGGCACTGAGGACCGCGGGTTAAAGTATGGCCTACAAATAATGTTCCCGGGTCCGGATATTTATCCTTGTACAATTTACGTACTCGTATGTAAATTGTATACACAATACAGGAGAAAATCCTAGTGTGGGGGTAACGTTTTATTGAAAAAAGAAGAAGAAGAAAAATGCTTTTAATCAAATTGTGTTATTGATTGCTGTTGCAAATGTTCTTTAACGGTCAATGTAACGTCACGTAATTAATAACAAATTAAGGCCGTTGGTTTAATAAAGCTGTCAAATCAACATCCGTTTGAAATAAAAAAAACAGCACCGTGATGCCCGTGATTAGGCTCGCGAATTTATTCACTCAAGAAAATCCGATCGTTGACCTCGACATGCTCTCCAAACATTGCTATTGATATTTCGTTACATCGCTCATTAACGCTTTTTTTAGTTCTTTGCTAATACAAATTAAAAATGTGCAGCTCCAGCGAGCCTTGCCTACTTGCCTCGCAGGTCTCCCGGTCACCAGTGTGCGAAATCCAGTTTTAACTTATTGCATGGATCTGCCACCAGTACTCGATTATTAATACTCATCAGTCTGTCAGTCAATTGCATCTCATATACAAATGTTATCATACAACACTTGAAACATTTATATATGCATATTTATACAAATGTTTCAAAAGTTTTCATCTCAACATTACTCTGACATTATAGGCTCTATTCGCGAATCTGTACATTGTAAGGCTCTATTATAATATGATTGTAAAAACGATGACAACGAATTTACTTAAGATATGTATTATGAAGTTTTAATGACCAATGTAAACATATCATATAAGATGCTGATTAACTGCATGGCCGTTAAATGATTATCAGCATTGAGTTATATGTACTACGTACTAGAGAAGCCATCCTGAACATTGACTATGTTCAATTGAACTGTAGTGCAATCCATACAAACTAAATATTGCGTAAATTGAAGATTTGTGAATTCCATAAAATAATCATTATTACATTTTATTTAGAAATATGTTTGTTTAGATTAAATTAAGATATTTTATATTAAATTCTTATTTTTATGTCACTATATCTCTATTATACGGAAAATGAAAGGAAACACATTATTTTTAAATAACGATATTGTTTAGTATACACACTATAAGAAACGTACTCGTGCTATTAAAATATATTATAATAAATTTGAATTAAACATTACATTTATAAATTATGAATTATTTAGTGCGATACTAGATGGCCTTGCTGGACTAGGAATTCGTCTGGATAGAAACGGAAACTTCTTATAATGCAATTCTAACTTAACATATGAAAACTGAAACCCGGGTGTGATCCCCGCCGGCACCACTGAAATTGGTAATTGCAATTTTAAGTGCTGATTTACCACGTGCTCGGCGGTGAAGGAAAACATCTTGAGGAAACCTGCATGTCTGGAAAATCAGAAAAAAAAATTCGAAGACATGAAGTTCGCCAACATGGATTGGGGCAGCGCGGTGGACGTTTCCTTGCCATAAAACCCTCTCAGAAATGAGGGAAGGCCTGTGCCCAGCAGTGGGACGTATATAGGCTGCAACTTTAACTTTTAACTTTATATATGAAATGGGCTGTCAGGTGTTTACTGTCGCAGATTCTCGAAGAAAGAGTATAGGTATAGAGATCACCTAGGTTATTAGGATTTCAAATGACTAAAAGCATCTAGAAAAACTAAAGAATTATTTGTTTATACTCAATTGTGAATTAACTCTTGGAGTTTATAGAGCTAATGTGGTCTAAGAATTCTGTTATGACTGTCATGATATAAAAACGTCAAATAAAGTGAAAAATCATATGGAAATGGAAGCTACTTTTCAAAATTCGCTGTTATTAAGTTTCTCAATATAAATGTTTGGACATATTGGCCCATCAATGTAACAAATACATGTGGAATTGGTATCATAATTGTCAACCTTTCTTAAAAAGTAAAATTCAATCGTGTTTTCGAATAATCATCGAAATTTCTTTTTTTTACCTTGAATGGGGTAGGAAATAGATTATGGTTTAAAACTTATTATTTCTTTTAAATAAAAATAATCATTCTTCGTCTCGGTCTTCCGTTGGTATATTTATGTTATAAAGCATTAGAAATTTCGGGAATTCAAAATTTCATTCCAATTGAAATTCTCCATTCGGCCAGAAAACGCAGCCAGCATTCTTTTTTTTTATACTGCGGATAGTTTATGTTTTTTTTTTAAATTGAATATATCTATATATCTAAACCTAACCGTATAGTGGCAGTGTAAGAATATCCACTACCATATGCCGTCCCGTGGGCGTCGTAAGAGACTTCAGAGGGAAAATAAAACAGGAGATGGGCTGCAGCATTTTCCTGATAACAACACAAAATAATAATAAACTACGGTTGCCATCCCGCTTGCCAAGCGTGACAACTTTATTTTTTTATAGGATCGGGTGACAAACGAGCACACAGTCCACCTGATGGTAAGTGGTTGCGGTGGCCCATAGACATCTACATCTATCCTCGTTTGCGAATCAAAATGCAGATGCGTTGTCACCCGTGAGGACTAAGATGGAATGCCTCTTTTCCAGTAAAAAGGGTTTCCGGTTCTCTACACTCACCATACGAAACAAAGAGGTGTTAAGCTGCTATTTTACGCTGGTATTCGTGCGTCCTTCCCCAGTCGAGCGGACCCATTCGTGCTAAAGCTATACTATTAATATAGCTGCAGCATGGCTCTACCACGTACAAAAAACTATGGCAAAGTCCCCCATCAGGCAATTTATGATGGAGGCCTATGTTCAGCGGTGGGGCATTATAAACTGTAATGGATGGAATGGATAATATCTTAATAATTTATTGTAAGAATTATTCAAAATAGGTTAAAATAAAATAAACTTAATGTATTTTACTACACTTATGTTTATACTACACATTGAATAAATTTAATATAATATTCAATGTGTAGTATGCGCTTAAAAGCGATCATTCTCATATTGTTATGCTTAATGTTAATCCAGAAAGATCACTCCAAAACGAGCGTTAATTAATAATGACGATTGCCTGACAAATATAAATTATCATGAAAGTCGATTCACTTTTGAGTTTAGATGATTAGTGATAAAAGTGAAAAGTTAAACCAGAACGCAACAAGCGTTGGATAAAGAAATTTATTCGTATGACTTACAGTGGTATCTCAAATGCAAATCTTTTAACACGACAAGACAGCTTCAAATAACGCATATGCCTGTCCCTCGAGGGTGTACTCGTAACTGATTGGTTGTGCCTTAAATATAACATTGAGTAAATGAGAC